GTGGGGGGGCAAAACAGCAGGGATCGAATCCTCCGCATAGCAGTCGACTCGCTCAGGGTTGTGCCCTGTTCGCACATACACAGCCAGTGGGGCAGGAACAGCTGGGCTGCTTCTCTCGTTTAATGTACATTTGGGGACTTGGGATCAAGTAGAGCCAAAGTTTATGGGGAACGATCAGGGGGCCGACCACATAACAGCTGTGCAGCCCCTTCCCCCCTTCAGAATGAAATAATGCTTTCTCAGGAAGCAGGCTCAGGGTTGTGCCCTGTTCGCACATACACAGCCAGTGGGGCAGGAACAGCTGGGCTGCTTCTCTCGTTTAATGTACATTTGGGGACTTGGGATCAAGTAGAGCCAAAGTTTATGGGGAACGATCAGGGGGCCGACCACATAACAGCTGTGCAGCCCCTTCCCCCCTTCAGAATGAAATAATGCTTTCTCAGGAAGCAGGGAAGGGATGGGGGTGAGGGGAGGTGTTAAAAGAGCAGAATCAGGCTTTTTGATCAAAACTTGACCATGTGAATGAATCTAAAAGGCCACCTTTAATCTCTTTTAAATATCTCTGGAAATGCACAGGAAAATCCCTCCTCATGAGTGTAGTTTAAAAAGCCAAAATATTCTGTTTGGAGTAAATCTAATTACATTATCTCCCTCTCCCCCATGCTTACTACTCCCTAAGGGACCAATCCCACTCCCATTAAAGTCAGTACCAAAACTCCCACTGACTCAAATGGTCCAAGATTAGGTTCCAAATGTGTGAGACTTTCCTTCAGGGTTTTTTTTTCCCTCCTTCCCCTCTTGCTCATTCATATAGTCATGCTGAATAAGGGTCTGCTACTGTTCCCACCAAAGTTAACAGGAACATTAGGTACTTTCCTCTTTATAGGGGAAGCCCAGCAGAAATGTATGTGTGTGTGTGTGTGTGTGTGTTTCCCCTCCCACTGCTGGGGGAATTCCAAGTGCCTGAACTACTTCCTGCTTTTATGTGTGGGTGTGTCAAGTTAGACTGTAAAGCAGCCAGATTTTACATTCCCTCTATCCCCTTTTTATCCAGATCACAACCGTTTATCACTCCATTAGAGGAAATGTCAGAGAGAGAAAGAGAGAGAGAATAAAATATTCTGTAGTTCCTGCCCTAACACTGGGTTTTAGCAATGTTCTGGTCTCAGCTGCTCCTCCTTCTTATCCCCCACTCTGAGATCTGTCACCAACAATCTCCTCCCTTTCTTTTCCCTTCACAGTGTTACCAGCTCTCATGATTTTGTAATGAGTCTCATAATTATAATTTTCCTTAAAGCCCCAGGTCCTGGTGTCAAGTAGATGCAATCATTTCAGCCTTCATTTTTACAGAAAAAGTTTCTAGCCCCTGTGGTTGAAACTACAAGATGTGACCCTAGTACAAGTATGAATACCAAATGGATTATTTTTACATAATATCTTCTAAATCTCATGACAATCACATTTAAAGCCACTTCCATTATATCTGGTGAATCTGATTCATGATTTTTGAACATTGTGAGTTGGCAATACTGTCTCTACCCCTAAGCTGAGGAAGAGGAATAGCTTTCTGGCAACCTTGTGCCCTTTGCTTCACTGACTGGTACTGGGATAAATATCACCAGAGCATTCTAGAATGGATCTCTAGCTGAAACTATAAGAAGGGGGCAATTGTGTTCATCAAACTTTTAGAACTTTAAAGAAAAGGCTGCAAAATGTCAGAAGAGAAAAAAGAAACGGGGGAGCACAGAATGGAATGCAGTCAAATGTCTATCAGACTAGTTTCAGATTGACTCTCCACACAGGAATTTGAAAAAAATTCCACAAGAAACCCCCCCCCCCCCCCCCACCACCACTGACTGTTGATGTCCAAGATCACCCAACACAATCATGGTACACCCTCTCTTAGGACAGAATAAATACAAGATGAAAAAACTCACTGTAGGACTTTTTTTTTTTCAAGGAGAGATGGCTGGTGGGGAGGTTTTGCAATTAGGAACTGAAGGTGTGCAATATAGGAAGCAAAACTGAACTATAAATTATGACACCAAGACCAACTTTTTATAGCAAGCTATTCTGGTAAAATGCATTTACAAAAAAGACTCTATAACCCCATTTACTCAATCTCTCTCTGACATTTCCTGTTAAGGTAGAATGTCATTTGTCATCAGTGTTAAAAGGAAACATGCAAAATTTGGTCAGCTTCTGTACCATTACACTTAGTGGTATGTCCCCATTTTTTCCTATACTGTGGTTCATGGCATACACAGAGAGAAATAAAACGAAATCCTCTTCAGTTTTCAATTTTTACTTGTCAGGTGGAATACGTTCACATCTAGTCTGATTCTGAATATTTGCTTTTGAGTATCATTATGTGACTGCCTGAGAAGACAGGTAGAAGGGGCAAGTGAGCCATGAACTAGTTTTGTAGCCATTATCTTGTTTGCTACAGGTGTTAAACAGTACTACTCACAGATACTGTCTGGCTACATCTAGACTGGCATGATTTTCTGCAAATGCTTTTAACAGAAAAGTTTTTCTGTTAAAAGCATTTGTGGAAAAGAGCACCTAGATTGGCACGGATGCTTTTCCACAAAAACACTTTTTGCGGAAAAGCGTCCATGCCAATCTAGACGCGGTTTTGCGCAAGAAAGCCACAATGGCCATTTTCGCCATTGGGGCTTTTTTGCGCAAAACAGTTTTTAGCTGTCTACACTGGCCCTCTTGCACAAAAACATTTCCGGAAAAGAGCTTTTGCCCGAACGGGAACGTCAAAGCATTTGCGCAAGAGGCACTCATTTTGGACAGTAGAACATCAGTGCTTTTGCGCAAAATCAAGCGGCCAGTGTAGACAGCTGGCAAGTTTTTGTGCAAAAGCGGTAGCTTTTGCAAAAAAACTTGCCAGTCTAGATGCAACCTCTATGTTTTTAGCTTCTCCAAGGCAGAATCCCAGGCTTCTGGATATGTCAATGTCAGTATGTATGTCATAAGTCAGTGACATATCTTTGAACATGAAAAGCACTTTGTTTGCCCACTGAACAGTAAGGAGATAAGGTACGTCTTGTGGCATCTTCTCTTTGAATGCAGCTGTAAAGCTGGTTTTGTGAGTTAAAATGTGTGTAAAAACTCCTTTGAACCCTGTGATGCTTTTGGGTCTGTCTTCACTGTAGAGCAGTGGTTCTCAAAGTGTGTTCTGCTTTGAGACCAAGACCATGACTATCTTGCAGGTGGCCCATGGGCTTGGGGCTCACACCTCCTTTCCTCCCCTCCCTCAGCCCCTGCAGTGAGGAGTCTGTGCTAGTGCTACACTCATGCAGCTCCCTTCCCACAGCTCCCTCCCATGAGGTGGAGTGCCAGCACCAACTTCCTGCTGCAGGGCGTAGGGGTGGAGAGTCTCACGGGTTGGATCTGGCTTATGGGGACATGAAGCAGCTCCATGTGCTGCCGCTCCCCCTTCTCCTGGTTGGGGGAATGACAGTGCAGCAAACCATTCACCTGGAAGCTTTCCCCGCTGCTCCCATTGGCCAAAATATGGCAAATGAGCACCATGGGGGTGGGTGGTGCCTGGAAGTGGCAAGAGACATAGAGCTAGGTAAGTGCTCCCCATCATCTCCCTCATGCCCAGACCTTGCATCCTCTACCCATCAAGCAGCCCTCCTCCCACTGAGACCTCACACCAGCGTTCCCTCTAATCTGTGCAGAAGCACAGCTTCACTGGTGATTAATCCACCCCACCCAGTCAGAGGCTCAGGGCTCTGTGCAGGGAGCTTACTGACTGCCTGGGAGAGGCTGATTAATCACCCGTGAAGATATGCTACTGTGCAATTTAGAGGGAACAGTGCCCCACATCCCCATCTTGCTCTTGCACCTTCACTCCTACCCAGATCTCACAACCCCATATCCTGCCCAGACCCCCCCACCTCAGCCTACTTTTGCACCCAGCCTCTCACTCAAATCCCCCAACTTCAGCCCACCATTCCTGCATCCTCCATCCTGACCAGACCTCCCACCCCCCCCCCCCTTCCCCCCGTTAAGGTAGAATGTCATTTGTCATCAGTGTTAAAAGGAAACATGCAAAATTTGGTCAGCTTCTGTACCATTACACTTAGTGGTATGTCCCCATTTTTTCCTATACTGTGGTTCATGGCATACACAGAGAGAAATAAAACGAAATCCTCTTCAGTTTTCAATTTTTACTTGTCAGGTGGAATACGTTCACATCTAGTCTGATTCTGAATATTTGCTTTTGAGTATCATTATGTGACTGCCTGAGAAGACAGGTAGAAGGGGCAAGTGAGCCATGAACTAGTTTTGTAGCCATTATCTTGTTTGCTACAGGTGTTAAACAGTACTACTCACAGATACTGTCTGGCTACATCTAGACTGGCATGATTTTCTGCAAATGCTTTTAACAGAAAAGTTTTTCTGTTAAAAGCATTTGTGGAAAAGAGCACCTAGATTGGCACGGATGCTTTTCCACAAAAACACTTTTTGCGGAAAAGCGTCCATGCCAATCTAGACGCGGTTTTGCGCAAGAAAGCCACAATGGCCATTTTCGCCATTGGGGCTTTTTTGCGCAAAACAGTTTTTAGCTGTCTACACTGGCCCTCTTGCACAAAAACATTTCCGGAAAA